TCCTAACCCTTTCTCAACTCCTAACCCCATAACAATTAACCCTAAATCCTAACCCTTCATTGTTTAACACCTCTTTACTGTACTTTATACCCCATACCCAGAAGTACTACCCTCTAAGTACTTCTTTATATTCACTGACCTTGACATCTAAATATTAATCCCTGACATTGTCTTTTAACCTCCAACTATTATCCCTTAAGTCTTAACCGTAAACACTTAACCAATAACACCAAACCTAGTCCTCAATTTAATATTGTTGGCTAAGCGTTCCAAATGGTTTAATAATTTTGGATAAACGTTTTAATATTTTTTTCAACATATTAAAATATCAAAACTATATAATATATAAACAAATATATAAAAAAATATTATAAATTATAAAAATGATCAAACTTATAATACTATTTATAATATTAAATCACTTTAAAAGTTTATCCAACAATGTTAAATTGAGAAAAAGTATCTAAATTCAAACTCAAAGAACTACCACCTAACTTTAAAACTACCACCTAACTCTTAAAACTTCCAGCATCAATCTTGTCATCCCTACAATATAAGCAGCTTTGTTCAGATCATGGCTGATATATAATTAATATGTAATGAATGCTGTAATGTTGTAATGCAGAGTAGGCACTCCAGATGTTGTGGACTACATCTCCCATAAGCATCAAGGGATATGTAGTCCACAACATATGGAGTTCCGAAGGTTGCCTACCCCTGCTGTAATGAAATGATGTCATGAAATAATGTCACACTGATGTAATGCATCTATGTAAATTCACAATTTGCAATTTAACAATATTATGCCTTTACCAGTCAGACAACCACTATTGTAATAGGATTCCAGAAAGAATGGAAGTGCAGTCACTCAGTCCAACATAGAACTCAGAGCTCCATCAGCTGTTCCATGGCCATTTGGCCATTTGAAACAGTCTGATTTTTAAACATACCCAGTCCAGCATAGAACTCAGAGCTCCATCAGCTGTTCCATGGCCATTTGAAACAGTCTGATTTTTAAACATACCCAGTCCAGCATAGAACTCAGAGCTCCATCAGCTGTTCCATGGCCATTTGAAACAGTCTGATTTTTAAACATACCCAGTCCAGCATAGAACTCAGAGCTCCATCAGCTGTTCCATGGCCATTTGAAACAGTCTGATTTTTAAACATACCCAGTCCAGCATAGAACTCAGAGCTCCATCAGCTGTTCCATGGCCATTTGAAACAGGTAGCCTTCTGGAAGACTGACATTTCATTATATTTCTACATACCCTGTTAATGTTGTTGTATGTTTTTGTATTTAGTGACTATTATTTAGTTTTATTATTTTCAATGTATACATTTTCATGTCTTTGTAACTATAGCCTGTGCTAATCATGCAAAGTATTTTATCACCTTTGTCTTTGTCCATCATGTTAAAAGTTAGTTTAACCAGCTCAGGCCCATATAGCTTTCTTGTTCCTTGTTTAATGGTTTTATTTCCCTACTTAAATACCTCTCTCTTATCTCTATAATTCTCAATCTTAGCTTTTGTTTTTCCTTAAATGACCTTAATTCAAATGTCCATCTATGCAACCCCTCCCCCCCCATCTCTTAGCCCATCTCTTAGCCCATCTGACCCTAATATACATCTCTCTCCCACAGTCTGATTTTTAAACATACCCAGTCCAGCATAGAACTCAGAGCTCCATCAGCTGTTCCATGGCCATTTGAAACAGGTAGCCTTCTGGAAGACTGATTTCCCTCCCCTCGCTTATTGCCTCATTTATAGATCGTCTCCCACACAACTTTCAATCTCCTGAAATGACAGGTGCAAACACTGATCAGTCCTTCCAATCTCTTAACCCTATAGAACACATACCCTCTCTCCCTACAAATAGATATATCACACACCAATACTATATACTTTTATTTCATTTCTGTTTCAATTTCAACTACACACCTCATACCACTAACATGAATCCAAATATAACCATACTGATATTCTTAATAACCCTTTTTTCAAGCCAATTTTATTCACACCACTACCAGCATAAGCACACACCTCAAACTGGAACACAAATTATCATACACCATGGCATGCTCTGTTCCTGTAACTTATCTGCTGAGTGCTGGTGGAGAGTTCTAAAAAATAGCCCTCCTACCCCCACCTCACAAAATTATAAAGTATCCCATTCACTATATGGCCAAACAAAAATGATGTCCAAATTCCTATTCCTTATGTTACTTGCCCTTGCAAATGATGTGGAGTCTAACCCTGGTCCCCCAGCTAATTCTAGTCCTAATCTCCCCACTAAAAAAGGTCTCTCTTTTGTGCACTGCAACATCCGTAGTTTACTCCCTAAACTGGATGCACTGCAAGCCTGGTGTTCCCATTACAAATCAAAAATCATTGTGCTCTCAGAATCATGGTTAACGACTAAAATACCAGACACCGCCATTGCAATACAGGGGTATTCATGTTTTAGAAATGACAGAGCAAAGAGAGGAGGAGGCATTGTTATTTATGTAGACTATTCCATAAAGTTTACCCCTTTACAAAACCTTAGTCCTCCTGCCACCTTTGATTTCCTTTCTGGTACAATTGAGATCCCGCGCAGTAAATCAATCATTGTTGCAGGAATCTACCGCCCACCTAGCTCCCCTGTGCATTCCCTATCTGACATAGCCCATCTCCTTAGTGAAACCATAGCTCAAAACCCTAAAAGTGAACTGTTGGTCTTTGGAGATTTTAATATTGATTGGCTGAATCCTAAAAAATAATAGTTCTTGCCCGCTGTTTAAGACTTTGCAGCTAACGCAATTAATCTCCTCCCCAAATCGCATAAACATTAAAAGCCATAACCCGACCCTACTAGATTGGATTCTCTCCACTTCTCCTGATATAATCCAGGAGGCTGGTGTTCTCCCAAACACTTTCAGTGATCACTGTTTAGTGTACTGCGTGCGCAAAATAAAGGCTATTTAATCCACTCCCAAGGTTAAAATAACTAGGTTCTTCAAAAAATGTAATCTTGAATCCTTTCTAAAGGACATCAAGAACCTCCCATGGCACAGATTAAATATTATCCCAGATCTGGACTGTGCTGTTGAATTCTTTCAGTCTGAACTCCTACAAATTTAGAATTTTCAAATGGCACACTGACCGCAGTCCACTCTTTCAAATACTTGGGTATGATGTTAGACCCCAATCTATCTTTTGGCCTGCACATAGAAAAGTTTGCATCTAAACTTTATCCAAAACTAGGTGCCATGTACAGAAACAAATCCTGCCTAAGCCCTACAGTAAAGGAAAAGATTGTACTGATGCCAATCATTGATTATGGGGATGTAGTATATGCATCTGCATTGCAATCCCACATTAATAAATTCAACACATTGTATAACTCGTTCTGCCGATTTGTGCTACAATGTAATTACAGGACTCACCATTGTGACATGCTAAAAGAACTAAACTGGCTGTCGCTGGAATCCAGACGTACCCTTCATCTTTCCAGCCTTGTTTTTAAGAGCTTTTATGGGAAACTCCCACCCTACCTGAACAAAATGCTTTCCCCAGCTGTTCCCACTTCCTATAACCACTGATCCAGTACCAACACTTTACTTAGTCTACCTCAATACAAAAAGAAAGCAGCCCGATCCTCCTTCTCCTACAGAGAACCGAAATTGTGGAACGACCTCCCGCACAATTTAAAATCTTCCCTAAGCCTAAAGTCCTTTAAGAGATCTCTCTCTACATACCTCAAAACAGAATGCACCTGTCATGGTTGATTATATATTTCCTACCTGTTCTATGTTAAATTTTGTATTTATTGGGTATTAATATTGTTTTTGTATTTTATTGTACCCTAATTGTAACAATGCAATGATTTGTGGACCCAGGACATACTTGAAAACGAGAGACATCTCAATGTATCTTTCCTGGTAAAATATTTTATAAATAAATAAAATTTCTGTAAAATTGTGCTATTAGTAACCATCACTTAAAATGGCTGCTCTTCTGTGTTTTTTGTTTTTTTAAACACAACATTTCCATGACTATCCTTTAAGACAACAATACGAAAATAGTTTTCTCTATGGTATCCCAAACATGTAAATCGTTTTCTCTTTACATCACTAAACAAGCAGAACTTTCAGTAAACAACAAAGTTAGTTGGTTAAATAATGTTTAATTTTTCAATCAGCTTTGCGTCTTTCTCCTCAGCTGAAAACAAGTCTTGTCTCTTAACCTTAAATAAATGGATTTAGACGGAAGGAGACTCGAAAGAACATTCATCTTTTTAATCATCCTGCAGTGAACATCACTTTATGAAGCTTACAGTACTGTGAATTATCTTAAATATTTACTCAGTTAAGGTATTTGAAAAAAGACATAAGGTCAACTAGCTCACTATAGCTATATGTACAAGTCTGTTTAATTTGGAAATAGGAAAATATGCTTCTTGATTGAAAGGCAAATACATCTGATGTAATTGCCACAATCTAGATGTCTCACTTTTGTCAGAATGTATGTAATTCATTTCTATTACGTATTCATCTGCACTTTGTTTACTTCTGAATAAAACTTTGCTTTTTAACATAAGCACAAAAAAAGAGGAAATGAACTAGGCAAGATATTTGAAGGGTATGCCTGAATTGGGTGCTATTGAATTTATTTTTGTTTTTGTTTTTGAGGTAGTGTCAGCACATTGCAGTACAAAAAATTACAAATCATATTTATTATACTGTAAGTATCAGTCGGGTAACAACTGAATTATATTGCATAATCTACTAGAAAAAGTTCATAAGTCTTTAACTCACTTTGGCTACAATTTAATATTGTTTCCAAGTGATTTAATAATTCTTGATACACTTTTAAAATGAGTTAATATTATGAAAAATATTTTGTGATGATATATTTTTTGACATTTTACATTTTTTTTTAAATTTGTATTTTATTTGGTTTTGTACACAAAGTATACACTTTTCCATTATATGTGTTATTATATTATATGGGTTAGAACAGGTTCAAATAACATTTCGTTGGGCTACATGCATAATAACAAGCACAATGTCAGAGATCCTTTACCGTGGCCTGGCAAAGAAACAATTTGTACATTTCTATCTTTCTACGGAGATCCCCCTTTAAAGAGGTTGCTTAATTTCGAGGCTGCTAGTTTTTAACAATCTTCCAGCTTATCCTATATGCGTGGGGTCAGTTGTTTAGGGTGATAGCATGGAGTGCTGGGTTAGGAGTAGCAGAAATAGTAAGTGTCTTTCCCGGACCATATAAGCTTATCTATATACATGCATAACATTATTATAGCAGTTAAATATTGCGTTTCTCACTCTGCTTTCTATGTCCATTAGCTAATATGCCTAGTTTTTTGAGGAATGTCTCTGGATCGTCTCCCGAGGTTAAGGTGAGTACGTCGGTGCCCTTTTGTACTGTTAGCGATCCCTCTGTGCCCCATCGGTACCGGACCGATTGTTCTCTCAGTCTCTTAGTGACCGGTGCCAGTAGTCTCCTTGCGGCAAGCACAGCAAACGGGAGGTTACTAAATATGGCCACTTCGCATCCCTCAAATTTTACCGACCCCAATGGTCTGGATCCAGCCATGATGGCAGCTCTCGCAGCTACGTCCCTGGTGGTAGCTATTGTGTCTCTGGGTGCACCCTCGGGTGCCGCTGGTGATTTGCGCACCCTGAAGGCGGACCGAATCAGTGGGGTGTCTGAATTACACCTGAGGCCCATGGAGGAGGTGAGTCTCCGTACAAAGGGCAGTAGGTCTTCACCGCTCACCGTTTCAGGGATACCTCTGAGGCGTATGTTGCGGCGGCGGTGTCTGGTTTCCAGTGTCACCACCGCTCCTTGTAGGCGTCGGACCTGCTCCTTAAGATCATCCAGTTGCAGTTTGGTGTCTTGGAGTTGGTGGTCTCTGGAGCTTTCTCTGTTCTCCACCTCCTGGACTCTCTGTTGCAAGACTCCCATTTCAGCACGTGTCTCCTGTAAGTCTGCCTTCCAGACCTGCCTTAGTTCGATCAGCAGCTTTCTGATGTCCCCCTTTGTTGATGGGGAGTCATCCTCCTCCGAGTCAGACCTGGGAGTGGGGCCCGGGAGTGAGGCTTGGGAGTCCCTCTCTTCCTGGGAGTCGTCAGAAGTCTCTATCTCACTCTGCGGTTCCGGCGCCATCTTGGCGGGCCGCACTTGTGTAGGCCTCTGGAAAGCCAGCCTAATGTCGGGTGCCGCGGGTCGCTCCGTGTAAGTTTGCTTTTTATGTTTGCGCCCCATGTTGTCGGCTGTCGGGTGGCAGGTAAGCTGTGCGTTTTTTGAGCTGATTTCTCCTCTTTAAGGCTCTTAGTCTGTAGGGCCTATGCAGAGCTCCACAGACATGCGACTGTTCAGCTCCGTAGTCGGCCACGCCCCTTGACATTTTAATATGTTGAAAATTTAAAAAAAAAAAGTTTATCCAAAAATATTAAATCATCTGGAAAGTTTATCCAATAATATTAAACTGAGAGTGTTTTAAACCCAAACAATATGTGTATTTAAATTCTGGTACTTTATCCAACCCACACCTATTTTATTTCTTAGTCTGGTTTTCTCTGATGCATTTAGACACTTGTTACTAAAAAATTTTTTTTTTTTTTTTCATTTTGTGTACTTTGTGCTTGAGTTGCTTCTACATGCCATGGTTTTGGTACTCATTTGTTATATATTAAAATGTGATTGTTGTTACTATCTATTTGGACCATCAATAAAGAAACCCTAACTTAAAAAAATAGATAAATATAGCCATTATACAAAAAGATCAGTTTGTGCTTCAGATGCATATACTGTACTTTGCAAATACCTTTGCTAAGTTATTGTCAGAATTTTAGAAACACAATTCTGAAATTTCAGAAACACAGTTCAGAAATATCCAGCTGTGGAACATGCACAATTCGTAAAATGATTATTTTCCTGATTATTTTCTGCAAGCCAATAGGTTGTTCTGTCTGATGAATAAGAATATAACTTATTATAGGGGATTTGTGTTTTGTTCAAATATAGTATGGTCAGTTGTATCAATGTTTAAGAAAATAGCTTGAGTATGCATAATGCGATGTGCTTGTCTGGGCACCCTGCAGCTATTGCTTAAAGGACCACTATAGGCAACCAGACCACTTCAGCTCAATGAAGTGGTCTGGGTGCCAGGTCCATCTAAGGTTAACCCTGCCTTCTGTAAACATAGCAGTTTCAGAGAAACTGCTATGTTTACATTAGGGTTAATCCAGCCTCTAGTGGCTGTCTCATTGACAGCCGCTAGAGGCGCTTCCACGCTTCCCACTGTGATTTTTACAGTGAGAAGACGCCAGCGTCCATAGGAAAGCATTGAGTAATGCTTTCCTATGGACTGACTGAATGCGCGCCCGGCTCTTGCCAGGCATGTGCATTCAGCAGATGACGACGGAAGAGGGAGGAGAGTCCCCAGCAGCGAGGGAGCTTGGCGCTGGAGAAAGGTAAGTGATTAACCCCTTCCTCCCCTTCAGCCTGGCGGGAGGGGGACCCAGAGGATGGGGGGGACCCAAAGACCCTATAGAGCTAGGAAAATTAGTTTGTTTTCCCGGCATCATAGTGGTCCTTTAATGCTCATTGGTCAAGTGGTCAGTTCACACTTTTAAAGATCAACTCTACTTCATAACTTCATAACTCCACACCCTCTACCCTCCCACCACCAAACAAAATGAAATAATTCTGCTTTATAAATAGCTTTAATTTAAAAGTTTTTGTGCCCCTTATCGGACCATTGCCCTGATACCCTGATAAGTCATTCTCACCTTAAAAAAAAATAAAAACAGAAAGGAAACATATATAGTGTAACTTTGTGGCACACAATATAATGTTAAAAACTCACAAGAGGAGAGCAGTATAAATCTGCTCTAACTTTGATAGCTCAAGTCCTTAGGACAGCACCAAGGTGTGACAGGTCTAGGTGTGCCAAATGTAATGATCCAAATTCAAAAGTAGGAATATTAAGATGATTTTTAAATTTCTGCCTTGATGCACATTAGATGCATAGTTATGTATATGTAAAACAACTGTGGTCTATCCACTAAAGGAGAACAACATTAGTTGGCTCAGTGCAAATAGCTACATCAAAACAGCTATGCGCATGGAACTTGGTGTATCCTATTTAATTTTTTATCAAAGGGGTTCTCCAACCGTTTGCCACATTTAGATTTTTTTAAGGTTAGGATGCCTTATTGGGCATTGTTAATAGGTCCACCACATTGCAAATAAAAAAACTAAAGTTAAAACTTGTGTAATTCAGCTCTGTGCGAATCTTCTGGCATTGATCTTCCTCCTCTGTCTGATATCAGCAGGGGGCCTTGAGCAGTCCAATCACAGGTTTCTCATAGAATTTACATTTTAAAAAAAGTTAAAATAGAAGCATTGATGTGAGGCAGGAGGGAGCACACAGTGAGAAGGAGAGGTAAGCAATCTTCCCCTTGCAGGCGCTCTGCCCTGTGCACACTGATGCAGCCGGAAATATGCACAGAATTGACATTAGGCAGCCTGGAACCCAGAGTTTTCTGTGCTTCCATACTCATGACAACTAACCCCATGCACACATGTGCAAATATCACTGAATGTGCAGACAGTGGTGTACCTACCACAGTCGCAGGGGTCAAAGCTGCAACTGGGCCTGTCACTCCAGGGGGACCAGCCACAGCTGTGACCCCTGCAACCGTGGGACACCACAACTCAAAGCCAACCTGGGCCCCACAGTCGCTGGGTGACTGGCAGCAGAGGAGCGATGTACTCTGATGCTCCCCTCCTGCAGGTCTCTCAGTGTGCAGCGTTGCTGAGCACTGCGGCTGACAGGAAGTGCTCACTAAGAGAACACTTCCTGTCAGACTGGATACCGCTCGACCACGCTACCCAGTCATAAGGTACAGGAGAAGAGTAGGGAGAGAGAGAATGAGGGCTAGATGGGGGGCTGAGAGAGGGATTGAGGGCTGGATTGGTATGAGGCGGTTAATGAGGGATGGATGGGGGTAAGGGGGTTAATGAGGGCTGGATGGGGGTGAAAGGGGTTAATGAGGGCTGGATTGGATAGTGAGGGAGTGAGGGCAAGATGGCGGTGAGGGGGGATAATAGGGGTTGGATGGGGTTGAAGGAGGTTAAAGAGGGCTGCATGGGATTAATGAGGGCTGGATGGGAGCTGAGGGGGGTTAATAAGGGCTGGATGGGTATTGGGGGGTTAATGATGGCTGGATGGGGGTTGGAGAGAGAGTAATGGCTGGATGGAGGCTGGGGGGGGTTAATGAGGGCTGGAGGTGGGATGAAAGGGAATGAAGCAAATGAGGGGGTGAAAGAGGGGATAAGGCAAATGGAGGGGTGGGGGAATAAGACAAATGGAGGACGTGAGGGAGGAGTGGGGGAATGAGACACATGGAGGAGCTGAGGGGGAGAAATTGAGACTTGTGGAGGGGCTGGGCGGAGGGGGAGGAACATGAGGGGCTCAAGAGTAGAATGGAGACACCTGGGAGGGTGGGACACAGGAAAGGACTGGAGGGAAATGAGACACATGGACGGGCTGGGGAGGGAAATGAGACACATGGAGAGGCAGGCGGGAAATGAAACACATGTGGGGGGCCCTGGGACAATTTTACACCAGGGTCCGGTGTTTTCTAGTTATGCCTCTGGGTGCAGTGTTTCAAGCATAAGCACATATAGACTCCCACCATCATGACCACTTCAAATCACTGAAGTGGTCATGGTGATTGGATTAACCCATTAAGTTTCCAATGGGACCTTAAGGTCAAAGGGACATTCCGGATCCTTAAAGCACTTTAGCATCTTATTTAGGATCTGCTGGCAGCTGCTCCTTGACTTATAGCTGCCCAGTAGCTTCCCAGTCCTAATAAGGCCTCAAATTATTGAGGGTGGGGATTTGACACTGGTCCCCCTGTGCCCTCACATGTGTCCAGTGGATGGGGGCTATGAAGTAATAAATGGAGGTGGGGAGTGTTTGTGTCCTCACACTCCCACATTAGAGATGTCGCGAACTGCTCGCCGAACTGTTCGCGAACTGTCCGCTGGCGAACAATAGCATGTTCGCGTTGGGCGAACATATACGATTTCCGGTCCGCCCCCTATTCGTCATCATTGAGTAAACTTTGACCCGGAACCTCACAGTCAGCAGACACTTCCTGGGAGGGAGGGTCTGCTGCTGATTGGCTGGAATGTGTCTGCTGACTGTGAGGTTCCGGGTCAAAGTTTACTCAATGATGATGAATAGGGGGCTGACCGGAAATCGTATATGTTCGCCCAACGCGAACACGCTTTTGTTCGCCGGCGGACAGTTCGCGAACAGTTCGGCGAACAGTTCGCGACATCTCTATCCCACACCCATGGGAGGTAGGATGGGGCTATTTATTAATGTGGGTGGGTGGGTGAATGCAATTATCCACCCCGACAAATGAGGGTGTTAGGCAATTATCGCAAAACTTGCCAGAGCAGGCTAATTGATTGGAGCTTCAAGTGGGTAAGTCAATTGGACATTAAAAATCTGTGCCCCATTTTTAAGCATTTAGTTCTGCATTTAAGCCAACAAGCAGCTTTTGGTGTGGCTGAAATACAGGGAGTGCAGAATTATTAGGCAAATGAGTATTTTGACCACATCATCCTCTTTATGCATGTTGTCTTACTCCAAGCTGTATAGGCTCGAAAGCCTACTACCAATTAAGCATATTAGGTGATGTGCATCTCTGTAATGAGAAGGGGTGTGGTCTAATGACATCAACACCCTATATCAGGTGTGCATAATTATTAGGCAACTTCCTTTCCTTTGGCAAAATGGGTCAAAAGAAGGACTTGACAGGCTCAGAAAAGTCAAAAATAGTGAGATATCTTGCAGAGGGATGCAGCACTCTTAAAATTGCAAAGTTTCTGAAGCGTGATCATCGAACAATCAAGCGTTTCATTCAAAATAGTCAACAGGGTTGCAAGAAGCGTGTGGAAAAACCAAGGCGCAAAATAACTGCCCATGAACTGAGAAAAGTCAAGCGTGCAGCTGCCACGATGCCACTTGCCACCAGTTTGGCCATATTTCAGAGCTGCAACATCACTGGAGTGCCCAAAAGCACAAGGTGTGCAATACTCAGAGACATGGCCAAGGTAAGAAAGGCTGAAAGACGACCACCACTGAACAAGACACACAAGCTGAAACGTCAAGACTGGGCCAAGAAATATCTCAAGACTGATTTTTCTAAGGTTTTATGGACTGATGAAATGAGAGTGAGTCTTGATGGGCCAGATGGATGGGCCCGTGGCTGGATTGGTAAA